TGTATTAAGATAGAAACAAATCTCACCATTCTAGACCATGTTTGATGCTAGTCGTTATTCATTAAGATAAAATCAAACCTCATCATTCTACACCATGTTTGATTCTAGTTGTTATTTATTAAGATAGAAACAGATCTCGTCATTCTACACCATGTTTGATTCTAGTTGTTATTCAGTAAGATAAAATCAAACCTCATCATTCTACACCATGTTTGATTCTAGTTGTTATTCATTAAGATAGAATCAGATCTCGTCATTCTACACCATGTTTGATTCTAGTCGTTATTCATTAAGATAGAATCAAACCTCATCATTCTAAACCATGTTTGATTCTAGTCGTTATTCATTAAGATAGAATCAAACCTCATCATTCTAAACCATGTTTGATTCTAGTCGTTATTCATTAAGACAGAATCAAACCTCATCATTCTAGACCATGTTTGATTCTAGTTGTTATTCATTAAGATAGAATCAAACCTCATCATTCTAAACCATGTTTGATTCTAGTCGTTATTCAGTAAGATAAAATCAAACCTCATCATTCTAAACCATGTTTGATTCTAGTTGTTATTTATTAAGATAGAATCAGATCTCGTCATTCTACACCATGTTTGATTCTAGTCGTTATTCATTAAGATAGAATCAAACCTCATCATTCTAAACCATGTTTAATTCTAGTTGTCATTCATTAAGATATAATCGAATCTCATCATTCTACACCATGTTTGATTCTAGTTGTTATTCATTAAGATAGAATCAAACCTCATCATTCTAAACCATGTTTGATACTTGTTGTTATTCATTAAGATAGAATCAAACCTCGTCATTCTAGACCATGTTTGATTCTAGTTGTTATTCATTAAGACAGAATCAAACCTCATCATTCTACACCATGTTTGATTCTGGTCATTATTCATTAAGATAGAATCAAACCTCATCATTCTAGGCCATGTTTGATTCTAGTTGTTATTTATTAAGATAGAATCAAACCTCATCATTCTAGACCATGTTTGATTCTAGTTGTTATTCATTAAGATAGAATCAAACCTCATCATTCTAGACCATGTTTGATTCTAGTTGTTATTCATTAAGATAGAATCAAACCTCATCATTCTAGATCATGTTTGATTCTAGTTGTTATTCATTAAGACAGAATCAAACCTCATCATTCTACACCATGTTTGATTTTAGTCGTTATTCATTAAGATAGAATCAAACCTCATCATTCTACACCATGTTTGATTCTAGTCGTTATTCATTAAGATAGAATCAAACCTCGTCATTCTACACCATGTTTGATTCTAGTTGTTATTCATTAAGATAGAATCATATCTTATCATTCTAGACCATGTTTGATTCTAGTTGTTATTCATTAATATAGAATCAAACCTCATCGTTCTAGGCCATGTTTGATTCTAGTCGTTATTCACTAAGATAGAATCAAACCTCATCATTCTACACCATGTTTGATTCTAGTCGTTATTCATTAAGATAGAATCAAACCTCATCATTCTAGACCATGTTTGATTCTAGTCGTTATTCAATAAGATAGAATCAAACCTCATCATTCTAGACCATGTTTGATTCTAGTCGTTATTCATTACGATAGAATCAGATCTCATCATTCTACACCATGTTTGATTCTAGTTGTTATTCATTAAGATAGAATCAAACCTCATCATTCTAAACCATTTTTGATTCTAGTCGTTATTCATTAAAATAGAATCAAACCTCATCATTCTAGACCATGTTTGATTCTAGTCGTTATTCAATAAGATAGAATCAAACCTCATCATTCTAGACCATTTTTGATTCTAGTCGTTATTCATTAAGATAGAATCAGATTTCATCATTCTAAACCATGTTTGATTCTAGTTGTTATTCATTAAGATAGAATCAGATCTCGTCATTCTACACCATGTTTGATTCTAGTTGTTATTCATTAAGATAGAATTAAACCTCGTCATTCTACACCATGTTTGATTCTAGTTGTTATTCATTAAGATAGAATCAGATCTCGTCATTCTACACCATGTTTGATTCTAGTTGTTATTCATTAAGATAGAATCAAACCTCGTCATTCTAGACCATGATTGATTCTTGTTGTTATTTATTACGATTGATTCAAACTTCATCGTTGGCCATACAACAGATGGCCAATAATTAGGCGAAGAACTTCATTGCGTGATGTGGTGTCACTTTATCCGTACGTATGTAAATGGTACATTTCCTATTGAAGAATCTCATAATATCATATGGTGGAAGCAAAGAAGTTTCAAGCTTTTCTCAAAATAAATGCACAATTTACTTGCTCAGTTGCTGCTCTAATATGAAAGTGGTGACTTTGTATGTACAAAAAGACATTTATAAAATAAATGTTTTCATAAACGTCAACGGGCTCACATGGACCTCGAATACACCAAACTGTTAGATATCCGACATCTGAGTATTCCAACATTCCAACGTAGTCCCCATTGACTATTACATTACTATCTTCAAAATAGTCTTCAAACTTACGAGAACTATTTTAAAATCACGTAGTCCCTTCAAATAATCCTCCAACTAAATATTATTTTCTATCTTTACTGGTTTTCCCTCTCCTTAAAATGTATGTTTTGTCAATAAGGTCTATGATGGGAAGTACGCTCTGCGCATGCTCATAAGAATTGGTCTACCTTCATGATGTGATGCGAAATACGTCTAACCTATAGCTAAACTACAGCAAAAATTATTTTTAAAAATTCGTTTATCACCTAAGATTTTTTGGCAAACATGCAAGGGAGTAACTAGGCAATACAACTAATTTTTATTATGTAAGGGGGAAACTAGCCACTTACCTAAATATTCAGTATTTAAGGGAAGTAACTTGATACAAAGATTAATTTCCACTATTCAAGAGAGGTAATTAGTCACTAGAATTAATCTTATCTATTCAAGGGAAGTAACTAGTCTTTAAAATTAATTTCCACTATTCAAGGGTAATAACTAGTCATTCACATAAATTGTCAAAATATTCAAGGGAGGTAATTAGTTACAAAATTTTCTTTCACTATTCAGGGTAGTTAACTAGAATAACTAAAATAAATTTTCACTCTCCATGGGAGGTAACTAATAAAAAATTCTGTTTATATTCCAGGGTAGTAATCTGACTTTAAATTGATTTCCACTACTCAAGGGTGCTTTGTAATCATTCAAAAAACATTCACTATTCAAGGGAAGTAACCAAGAACATAATTCAATATTCAAGGGAGGTAACTTGTCAATAAGATTTATTTTACCCGGCAAACGACTAAGTAACTAAAATTTCACTATACAAGAGAGGTAACCTGTCATTAAAAAATTATTTTCACTATTCAAGGGAGGTAACTAGTCCATAAAATTTATTTTTGTTATACAAGGGAGGTAACCTGTCACTAAAATTAATTTTCACTATTCAAGGCAGGTAACTTGTCGATAAAATTTATGTTCACTCTGCAAGGAAGCTAAAAAATAATCAAAATAAGTTTTCAATATTGAAGGGAAGTAATTTGTCACAAAGATTAATTTTCAATTTTCAAGAGAGGTAACTAATAACTAGAATTAATTTCCACTATTCAAGGGAAGTAATTCTGTTTCACTTTTCAAGGGGGGTAACTTGGCACGTGGAGTAATTGCTATTATGTAACTTTTATGCAAGGTTTTTATGTTACTTTTAAAATTGTTTATGCATTTCAGTTGATTATTCGTTTCATTAGCTATTTCTTTTTTTGGTTCTTGTAAATAGTCTTCAGAAGAGCTAGAACTGCACGAATATCGCGTAATCAGTTAAAATGTACCGCAAACTAGAAATATCATTTTCTGTTTCTATGTATGTATTTTATATACATGGAGTCTCAAGTCGTCAAAAATGAATAATTCCGGACACACATGGATTTTACAGTGAGCTATGGACTGATTAGCTTAGCAAAACTAAGGTACGATTGGTCACACGGATGGCGACACTGTACCTTTAAAGCAGGGGTTTTTAACCCTTTTCGTTCCATTAGGCCATTGATCGATTGCAGCACTCTCCTTACCATAATAAAATCCTTGAGTGACTTTCTCTTTATAAAATATACCCTGACCTCAATTATAATTGTCAAATAATACCAAACAACAAAGCAATATCCCCCAATAATGTAAAAATCTCCGCCAGGGGGGTATTTACACCCAGGTTGAAAGCCTCTGCTTCAAAGGATGTGGTCGAATTATTTTCTACGAGCGGAATTGACGACAGTCTGTATCGGGGTCGATAACGCCCGGTGTTTGGAAGAGTATGCAGGAACCACACCAGCAATTGCTGCTCAATATAATACACAAGATACGAAGATAAAAATAACATAAATTTGTAAAATTAAAGAGCGGAAGTGACAGTTCAGCCGAACTAGAGCCCAGATTTCCAGTCTTATGCTTTGCTAAAGCAAATACTTTGATGATTGAATCCTCTAAATACATAATTTTTCATCCAAAAAGAGTTCGAGACCGTACAAAGTCTTTCTGAATGATTGCAATTTCTAATTGACTAGATTTGTTGTTTATTATAGAAATGTCTTGTAGGATTAGTTTATTAATGGATATATGATAAATAAAAATAATGACATCTCTTAAACATTGCAATTTCAGATAGTCCTCAATGCAAAAAACTCTGTAATTTTACTGGCACAAGTACCGTGTCTTGACATGCTATAAAGAACATGCTTCCTTCCTAGATTACCTGACCGAATATATAATTTATTGTTTAGATGTTTTTATATTACATAAATATGACTCACAGAAAATGCCCTGATTGAGAGTGGCCCAGAAAAAACGCTTCACTCTCGGATTATTCCTAGACCCGAATCTTGCGTAAAATCTTACGTGTGTCCGAGCTCTCACGACAAGACTATCGCGTTTCCGACAGGATTTATAACATCAGTTAAGTTTGATATTGGTCTCGGATAGTTTTATAGTCTGCAAGACAGACCGTCATCATCCAATCAGATTCATTTTCCTTTCCATTGCATACTACGCACGTGATTATCGACATGGTGAAAACGTCCGACTTGAGATTTTTGTCTGTCTCCCCGTGTGCCCGTGCTGGTCGATGAAACTCTTGACAAGACTATTGTCGGCGACCAAGACCGTTCGTGTGCCTGCACCTTATGCCAAATATAGAAAAGGTATAAATAGAAATAGAAAGTGAGGTTTGTTTGATCGGATTTTCGTACATTTCTAGTACCTCTGAAGACTATTGACATATTATTTTCAAGACCCAAATCAACCATAGAAATGGTCGACTATTTCCCTTTAACGCGTGCTGCTTTCAGATGAATTATGTGATCCATGTCGCCTTGTATTTAGCTACCTGGTGGCACCAGCCTTATAGAACCGGAAAATGAAATGAATGGAGTTTTACGTCCTAATTTTCTGCACCATGTGTGATAGTGAAGACGGGCAACGCCAAACAGGGTGCACTGAGGGAAATTAATGTGGGCGTATATAGTCGTCGCCCCCGTCCGTCTGTCTGTCCACAATTATTTGTGGACACGATAGAGAGCTGGTTTCCTGATGGATTTTGACGAAACTTGGTGTGAGTATTTGTAATCACCCAGGGATGAACCCTATTGAAAATCAGACGAATCGAAAAATATTTACTATGGGTTATTGCCCTTGTTCTTGAATTGTTTGTGGACACGATAGAGAGCTGGTTTCTTGGTGGATTTTGACGAAACTTTGTGTGAGTGTTTGTATTCACTCAACGATGAACCCTAATGAAAATCAGACGAATCGAAAAATATTTACTATGAGTTATTGCCCTTGTTCTTGTATTGTTTGTAGACACGATAGAGAGCTGGTTTCTTGGTGGATTTTGACGAAAATTGGTGTGAGTGTTTGTAATCACCCAAGGATAAACTCTATATAGCCGTCGAACCTGTCAGTCCGTAAATATATAACTGTCTTAACACAAAGATTTGCCACTTGCTGCCACTCAAACGATTCAATCCTATATGGATAAATGAAACTTGACATGTTAAATTAATCTCACTTGAATAAATAAAGCTGTAAACAAAACCCATGAAAATTTCACACTCAGAAACATTCATTTACTGATAACTCTTGTCAACCTCCCGGACAAATTAGCTGCCATTGCAAATGTGGGCATATTACGATGGCACCGCTATTTTTATATCTTTAAGGAGACTTGTTGAGTTCTGATCAAATTATCGATTTTTTTTAAACATAATTACAACTACTCTTATGTTCTATGATTATATTCACTATTGTTTTTACATTATATTTATTATTTATCAATATCATTAATTATTGTTATTATTATTATTATTTTTACGAGAGTTGGGAAGTTATCAGACGATGAAATGGAGTTATAAATGCTTGATGCTTCAGATTTGAAAAAAAGATAGAAAAAGAAGTCTTTTTATTGAAATTTGTGAGGATTCTTAATTTTGGTATTTATGGAATTACATATTTGATATTTGAACTGAACTGAAGATCTAAACAATCAATATGGCCCGTCTCGCTCTTTAAATTTTAAATGTTTTCTGAGATTTTTAAGATTACTGGAATTTTTAAGCCACCATTTCTCTGAATTAATTGATGAAATTCCTTTCTTTCCAATTCTTTCTATGTCTGTTACACCTTTACATAAATAAATAATATTGATAGTTTGGATTTTCTGAAATGCTCTGAATTTCAATGTTAATTTATTGAGAATCAGAACCATTGCAACCTTCATAAATATTCTAGTTGAAAAAATAGTTCAACCAAAAGTTGTAAATGTTCGTGCAGTTAACAGTCATTTGTAAATCTACCGCTAATCTGATAAAAGACTAAGTTGTTTTGTGAGGCTTCTCGGCTACACCCTGTGGCGTGTGTTTGTATTCTCAGGGGGACAAAATATGTATTAAAAACCCGTACAGCCAAGACAATTCCGTCATTCAAAAATCTCATTCAAAGAATAGTAAAATCGAGAATAAAGGTAGTATAGTAGTGAACTCCTAGAGAAAGCATGGTTTGAATCCGTTTTTCTATGTAGATATGACGATATCGTCTTCAACTTTTATTATCCCACCAATCAAATTGTTGTTGCGAATTTGAAATATTTGATTAAAAGATAAATCCGTAAATTTTAAATCGAAATTGATGTTTGAGATTTGTTATTTACACTGAATAAAAAACATGTTTGGACTATATAGAATATGGTTTTGTATTTTAACAATTTTTGTATGGAAATCGCTGTGTCGTACGAGTGAATCGAACTGGCTAAAATTTACTTACATTGGACCTGTGACATTTTATTATCATAGATTGATACTAAATTCTGTGTTAGGCCGATGTGCATTAACTTGTCCATCTCTCTACAACTGGGATCATATTTATTTTCAAGGAGGGGATTGTTATTGTTTAGCACCAGTTTATGTCAAATCCAGCCTACGACCAATAGAGAATTTTGGACGATTCGTCAAGGTATGTTGAATTATTTCATGTGGATTTTTATGGTCCGTTTTGCTTCTTATGGTAATGGACAAGATAATCCCCATTATTATTCTTCAAACTATTAACCGTATCCTCTTGAATCTTGTTCCAAAACTTTAATGAATTCGATCATCACTATGATAAGTAGGCCTGATATAATCAATCTTCTGGACACTTTGACTAGCGCACTGGGACTGGGACTAGATTTGTCAATTAGACACATCTTGGGAGTCGCATAGCATTGGTTAAGTTGAAAAATCGTATTCTAAAAACATAAAGTCGAAAATGCAGCCGCCGACATAATTTCAACCCACAATGCTAATGAGATGCTAAATCGTAACCAAGAGATGCTAAATCGTAACCAAGAGAAACTAAGTCGTGTCCACAAGTTCCTAAGTCGTGTCCACGAGATACTAAGTCGTGTCCACGAGATACTAAGTCGCAACCAGAGTTGCTAAATGATAAATGATGCAAGATAAATGATAAAAGAATATGATATATAATAAATTGTAAATGATAAATGACACGTGATATAATTATATTATCTTTTCAGATGTCAGCTATTGTACCGAGAGGGGATACACGATATTTTCAGACCAGGGATATTGTTTAAAATATTTTTCACGAACATCAACTTGGCATAACGCTGAATCAACTTGTCGACAAGATGGTGGTCATTTAGTTTCACTTTATACTCAACAAGATTTAACTAATTTGAGATCACTGTATACAAGTAAGTAAATCAGATGAAGAAACGAAACTGTGGTAAAAAAAAAAGAAAAATTTTTTATTTACAATGTTCCCGTATACTAGCTGGTCGTTGTCTATATCAAATCAAAGCATTAATCTTTCCTTGATATCTGTACCCACAAGACTGAAATAATTAATTTTCATGTTTTGTTGAGCAGCAATCGTAGAAGAGATTCGTCATTGTTGCAGAATTGTCATTAAACCACGATACAAAATAATTATTGCAATTCTGTGAAATAATAATAAAATTGGATAATGCCCAATTATAAACCATACAGGATGTGATAATTTGGTAATAGTTAAAATATAATCCCCGTCTCTACTGCTGTCCAATGATAGACTAGTTTATATTTATATTGATATTGTAAAGTGAATTTCAGTTTATTAATGTCAGTAATTGAAGTAATCATTGTTTCATAAAATACATTTGGCTTTTAACTTTATCAAAAACAAAAACTGAAAATGTGACCAAAAACAACTGATAATACTAGGTCTGCTAATGAAAAACTTGAAAATGTGAAGCGTAATTAGTGTCACACATGTCCGTCCATCCGTCGGTCCATCCATCCACTATTGCTTGTAAACATTCCAGTAGGCTAGAAGTATTTTGATATTTAGATGTCGTCATCAGGAACATAATAAGATGATATTGAACTTTAAAAATGATATTGTTTTGTTTTTCTTCAGATGACACAATAGTATTTATTGGAGGCCACAGAACATTGGATGGTACTAAATTGGATTGGATAACTGGTGGAACAATACATGAATCATTTTGGGGTGGTGGTCAACCAAACAATGCCGGTGGTGGAGAACGGTGTGTAGTCGTACTAGAAGGTGGAAAATTATATGATACCAATTGCAAAAAACGATTTCACTTTGTTTGTCAAATATTATAATTGATCCGATAATCATTATACATGCTGGTTAGAAACAGTCAAACAGAACCTAAAATACATATTGATGTTACTCAGAGTTTCACTCTATGCTATCTTCAGACAACTGACTTTTTTTTCAGCCTGCGTCCCTACTAAAGTTATTGAAGTAGAACTTTTTATCATGTCTACACTTCGACATATTCTAATCACTATAAATGATGGTAATGTCAGTGACATGCCGGATGTTATAATATACCAGTTAACTAGCAGATAGATCTGTACATCTTATGGCTATAGTATAATACATAACTCATACTTATGAAGTTGTACAGAGTTCTACTAGATATGATTTCATGTTTATACATTATATATATATTTAAAACCTCCAGTTCATATTAATTAAAGGATTTGAAAAGTTCAATAAAAGCACAAGCAATATTTAAAGTGCACAAAATAGAGAATTGTTAATCAATGAACTTTTTAAACGATTTGATCGTTGTCTAATGATTGGTGAACGGCATCTGAAATCTTGCAAAATTTGGTTGTAATATTATTTGTGTGTATTTATTTTGTGTTATATTAGGTTATAGTATTATTTATTCAAAAACATGAGAATGTGTTCTTTTGTTATTCTCCAATGACGAGTCGATTCTGAGAGTATTATGAATTGATATATTGTAATGTTCTAAATTCAGCATCTAGTTGTCTTTTAATTTAAGTACCGTTTTATCTGCCCTTTTAAGTACCGTTTTATCTGCCCTTTTAAGTACCGTTTTATCTCCCCTTTTAAGGACCGTTTTATCTGCCCTTTTAAGAACCGTTTTATCTGCCCTTTTAAGAACCGTTTTATCTGCCCTTTTAAGTACCGTTTTATCTGCCCTTTTAAGAACCGTTTTATCTGCCCTTTTAAGAACCGTTTTATCTCCCCTTTTAAGAACCGTTTTATCTCCCCTTTTAAGAACCGTTTTATCTGCCCTTTTAAGAACCGTTTTATCTGCCCTTTTAAGAACCGTTTTATCTGCCCTTTTAAGAAACGTTTTATCTGCCCTTTTAAGAACCGTTTTATCTCCCCTTTTAAGAACCGTTTTATCTCCCCTTTTAAGAACCGTTTTATCTCCCCTTTTAAGAACCGTTTTATCTCCCCTTTTAAGTAACGTTTTATCTGCCCTTTTAAGTACCGTTTTATCTGCCCTTTTAAGAACCGTTTTATCTCCCCTTTTAAGTACCGTTTTATCTGCCCTTTTAAGTACGTTTTATCTCCCCTTTTAAGTACCGTTTTATTTCCCCTTTTAAGTACCGTTTTATCTCCCCTTTTAAGTACCGTTTTATCTCCCCTTTTAAGTACCGTTTTATCTCCCCTTTTAAGTACCGTTTTATCTTCCCTTTTAAGCACCGTTTTATCTCCCCTTTTAAGTACATTTTTATCCGCCCTTTTAGTACTGTTTTATATACCCTTTTAAGTACCGTATTATCTACCCTTTTAAGTTCCGTTTTATCACCCCTTTTAAGTTCCGTTTTATCACCCCTTTTAAATACCGTTTTATCTGCCCTTTTAAGTACCGTTTTATCTCCTCTTTGTAGTAGCGTTTTATCTCCCTTTTGTAGTACCGTTTTATCACCCCTTTTAAAGTACTGTTTTATCTCCCCTTTTAAGTACCGTTTTATCTTCCCTTTGTAGTACCGTTTTATCTCCCCTTTGTAGTACCGTTTTATCTCCCCTTTTAAGAACCGTTTTATCTCCCCTTTTAAAGTACCGTTTTATCTCCCCTTTTAAGTACCGTTTTATCTTCCCTTTGTAGTACTGTTTTATCTCCCCTTTGTAGTACCGTTTTATCTCCCCTTTTAAGAACCGTTATATCTCTTCTTTTCAGATTCCTTTTATCTCCTCTCTTCAGTTCCGTAAATTTATAAAATGAAAGAGCGGAAGTGACGACAGTGATTATCCGCGTCGTTATAAAAGCTATCATTTAGACTCCGACGTTACGTTACGTTACGAAAATTCAGTTGAACTAAAGGTCAGATTTCCATTCTTAATGTACTGATAGCTTTCTTAAAGCAAATATTTTGATGACTTAATTCCTTATAAAAACAATAACTAACGGAACGTGATTTTAAAATTAAATTATTAACCTCTAAGTATAAAATTATTACTCCAAGAGAGAGTACAAAATCTTTCTGAATGATTGCAATTTCTAATTGACTAGATTTGTTTTTTATTATAGAAATGTCTTAGAGGATTAGTTTATTAATGGATATATGGTAAATAAAAATAATGACATCTCTAATTTTACTATGAATTTATTTAATAGAACTACTAGTACCAACGGAAGCTCAATTACGACAGGTTTGAATTTCGAAAAATACTTCAATATGCTTGCTGATGATGCTCAAATTATTCTTCTCCTATGTCTTCGTGCCGTCAGTTCGACTAATAAGGCATTAAATTGTACTCTAATGAGGAGATTACTAGTTGAAAGATGAATACACAATACCTTGACCATTGGGAATAGGCAATTTGTTAGTTTCCTCGACAATACAATATGTTTTCTTCAGTTCATACCATCTCCTTTACTTCATTTCGTTTAGTGAGAAGCGATCTGGAACGAGGATTAAAAGTTCAAATAGTCCATTTCTATTATCATTAAAACAGTCTAGTGATTCTTATTTCAATAATTCCAAATTAAAAAATAATAGAATAAACAAGTAACTTTCACAAACTTCATTTTGAGTTGAAGTGCGATGTCTGATAGTCGCAGAGTTTTGTTTCATATTTTGATATTTTCGATATCAATATCATGCAGGTGTACATACGAAAGTTATTGGAGGCCATTTGACTACACTGGACCTGTTACATTAAATTATTATAGATTGATACCAACTTCTGGTTTAGGCCGATGTGCAAGAACTTGTTCATCTCTCTACAACTCGGATCAGATTTATTATCAAGGAGGGGATTGTTATTGTTTAGCACCAGTTTATGAAGAATCCAGTCTGGTTTCTGGAACGGTTACGACCAATAGAGAATTTTGGACGATTCGTCAAGGTTTGTTGAATTATTTCATGTCGATTTTCATGGTCCGTTTTGATTCCAAGATCATTCTTAAAACTATTAACCGTATCCTCTTGAATTTTAGTTCCAACACTTTAATGAATTCGATCATCAGTATGATAAGTAGGCCTGATATAGTGATTGTCACCTTCGAGCGAGTGGATTCTCAATCTCCTGGACACTGTGACTGAGACTGGATTTGTCGATTAAACACATCTTGAGAATCGCATAGTCTAAGTTGCAAAATCGTATTTCCTAAGTCGTGACGAGATACAAAGTCGTGGCCAAGAGATACTAAGTCGTAACCACGAGTTGCTAAGTCGTAACCATGAGATACTAAGTCGTAACCACGAGATGCCGTGTGATGCTATGTCGTGATAACGATTTTCTAAGTCGTGGTCACGAGATGTTCGTTTGTGGCCACGAGATGCTATAAATATATAGTTATTTAAGGAATGAATGTGGATTTTGTTATC